TCATATTTGGCATTTTAGTTGCTTTGTACTTGTTTTGTTTATCTTATCAATAAAATATTGTCACCCTTTTATCAACCAAATATGACATGTGATTATTAGCTCAAATTATTTATTATCAAGTATGACATGTAATGATAAGCAAATAAATAGAAACGTGTAACTCCACAAATATTAGGCACATCAATCATCATCACTTTGATGATCCATCAACACCCAGGAGCCATCGCCCATTTGGAGCATAGACTTGTTCTTCTCTGTCCACCACTTAGCAACTATAAGATACTCATCTTTTAGCCCGTCCAAATATTTGTTTACTAATGCAAGATCACGTTTAACTGCCAATTTAAAATCATTTTCTCCTTGTGTTCCTGCAACTCCATGTAAGTAAACCTCCAAACTGTGCAGGCTCTGTTTTGGATCCTTCAAATACGGTGATTTGAAAGTGTCGAATCTCAGCTCTTTTCCGACATGGAGATAGTTTACAAACGGCGGTAAAGAAGGGATTAAATCGTAGTCATTCGTGACGCGCAACGCATGAAGATTTTTCAGACCATAGAACACATTGCTGAAGCCTCGGTCTCCAAGACGAGGGGCAGCAAAAACAATGGCCGTGACAGGACAGACTGGATGGCCTGGGGGCTTATTGTATCCATTATAAACAATGTCTGTAGCATTTAAAATTCCCATTGCAGCGCCCATGCTGTGGCCAGTGACAGTTATGCTGATTGTCTCATTCTTGTATTGGTTCACTACTTCTTTAATTGCAGCTAAAGCCTGAAAATATAAGAATACATAAACTTTATTTCTTTTGCAGATCAGAATATTTCAATTTTTTCTCCAAAGAAATGTTGTTGTTTTGTTTACATATAGGAGCAACAAAAATTTAGACTATCAAATACTAAACCATAAATTAATATATATTGATCCGATATTTGGTACGATGGTTCAAATTGGGGCTGCTTCTGCAAATGCTAAAACAACTTTCTAACAACTAGAAGTGCTTTTGGATCACAAAGATGCTCTAGGAACTTCTTCAAGAATCACTTCAAAGTGTTTTTTTTTAGGAAACACTTGAATTTTTAATAAACTAAACCTGAAGTACTTCTAATAGAGATAGAAGCGCTTCCTAAAAAACCGCTTATGAGCAAAAGTGTCTTTTACAGAAGCAGTTACAAACGGGTTAGTCCAATGCACATCACTAGCTAGCTCATCTAACAAAAACTTAAACATTAATAAAACAAAGTTACCTGAGCCCTACAACTAGTTTTGTTGTGTGGAGACTGAGGGTCAACATGAGTGTAATAGGAATGGAAACCATGGTGAACCTTAGGGTCATGCTTCTTTCCTAGAATATCAGAAGCACTAACCAAATCGAACACTATGTCAATACCCCACTCTGCCACCAACTCCGTTCCTCTCCATGAAACCAAAATGTCCCTCCTCCCCAACACTTTCTTTCCCTCATCCGTTGTCACTGCAACGTAACCTAACCAGATCGATTTCCCGGGTGATAATGTCGTTGCAGCGTATAAATATTTCTTCACCTTGTACTTGTATGGATTAGACTTCTCCAAACCTACTTTAGAGAACAAATATCTCTTAGCATATCGAGGAAGTCCGCAGTTGTCTGATTTTGTCTCATCAATGAAGGCGTCAGCTATGGCGGCAGCCCTTTCCCCGCAGTGAAGGATATAGCGGCGCAGATCAAGGTCGAGAGGGTCGAGTAGACCCTCCCACTCAGTCTCGCCGCTGAGAAGCCTCCACCTTTTTGCTATGCTATTCATGGTTGTTTTCTTCTGCTTAACCAGCTTGCAAAGGATTGATATTAGTAACTAACAAACATTAAAAGCATTGATCTTCTTGCTTAACCAACTTGAGGGGATTGATATTCTTGATGCATGCTTCTGTCATGACTCACATGCACCATCCAACCTCTTGGTAATCTCTAATCACGTATCTGTTTTGCTTATTGTTTATTTATTTTCTTTGATGTTTAATTTCGTTACTTTCTCGAAATTATTAGTTGATCTATGGTATTCTTAAACTATGATTAACAGATAAACATGCACAAACACGTATATACACATACATACATATGTGTGTATACACGAAGGTGAACATGAGAAATGTCTCAAAAATCTTATTAGTAAACCGAAACACATAACTAGAGTTTATACATAAAAAAAGCCCCAAAGGAAAACAGACACAAATCTTTTCATCTTACTGGTATGTTAATCTTGATCAATCTCTTGATCTTGTAAATTTTTGTTTTGGGGAAATTCTATATAGACCCTATTATTTGCTCACTGAACCTTACTACAGTATTTGTGTACCCAAAACTGCCTGTTTTAACCTCATATAAAATGAAAGGAAAACTGAAAAAATTAGAAAAACGCATATTAGAAAGCGGTTGGTCTCTAATTAAGGGCTCGTTTGGGAGTGATTTTATGGAGAAGCACATGGGAGATACTTCTTCCCAAAAGTGATAATCACTCCCAAACGAGCCCTAAATCCACATTGAGTGATTTTATAGTTAGGCTGATCACATAAGATCATAAAAAGGACTTAGTCTAGGTCCAGATTAATAACTAGAATTTCTTTATTTCACCAATTTTATTCTTTTGGTGCTTAATTCGAGAGGCAATAAGATATATAGAACTTCATTGATAGTAAAAGAAAGAGTACATAAAAGGCCACAACAGGGGCAAACTTTATTTATGCGACATTGTCATGCATATATAATATACGTTGATCAACTACATGGTTTTCATGCATCGTCATCTTTTTCGTGATCCATTAAAACCCAGGAGCCATCATTCTGTTGAACCATGGACTTGTTCTTCTCTATCCACCACTTAACAACAATACGGTACTCATCTTTTACGGCATCCAACAATTTGTTTACCAGGGCAATGTCACGATCCACTTCCAATTTGAAACCATTTGCACCTTGCGTCCCGGCAACTCCATGCAAGTAAACCTCCAAATCGTGAAACATCTCTACTATGCCGATCCAGTCATCATAATCCGAAAGAGCCTTGAGGTAGGGCGACATAAGACTGTCGAATCGCAACTCCTTTCCGACATGCACATATTTTCCTTCAGGTGATAAAATAGGGGCAAGATCATTAGCATTCGTGACACGCAGGACGTGAAGATTTTTTAGACTGGAGAATACTTTGTTGAAGCCTGAGTCTCCGAGGCCAGGGCAGGCAAACACAATGGCCGTGACGAGAGATGCCTTGCCTGACTTGTCGCTAAGCTTATTGTATCCATTATAAGCAATGTCCATTGCGTTTAGGATTCCAATTGCAGCACCCATACTATGGCCCGTGACAGTTATGCTGATCTCCTCGCCTTTGTATTTCTTCAACAGTTCTTTGACTGCAGCAAGAGCCTGAGACAATGAAAAATTCAACAATTCTTTGATTAAAGAAACATTGATGTATGCATATAGTTAGGCCACGCTTAGAAGGTGGGGCTGAACATGGAAAATACAATTAAAATGGACAAATTATGCATGGAATATTAAATTGGACAACCGTATAGTATAATAATTTGTATAACATAGAGAGCTTCTATTGACCTATATGAGGGACACCTTTGTAAAGTTCCGTTTCGCATTGTATTCCATTGATCCGAATCGTCATTATTCATAGATTATCTCTCCGAAAGATCACTCAAATCGAAAAACAGTTAACTGTTGATTTGAGGCTAGAAATTTTAGCATGTTTTTGGAAATAAGAGACTAAACTGAAGTTAAAAATTAATTATAATTAACCTCTAAAAACTATACCTGGTTTCTGCAACTAGTATAATAGTTAAGCCAACCGGAGTGCACCTTAGGCTCATTGACATTGTCCTTGCCCAGAATGTCAAAAGCTGGGACTAAAGTGGTCTCTCTCTCAATATCAAACTCCTTCTCCAACTTGGTTCCTCTCCATGAAATCAGAATATCCCTCCTCCCCAACACGCGCTTCCCTTCATCTGTTGTCACTGCAACATAACCCAACCAGATCGATTTCCCAGGCACTAATTTTGTTGCCGCATATAAGTATGTCTTCACAACGTACTTGTATGGACTGGAACTCTCCAAACCCACCTTGGAGAACAAGTTTCTCTTTGCATATCGAGGAAGTCCAGAGTTCTTCGATTTTGGCTCGTTGATGAAGGCGTCAGCAATGGCGGAAGCCCTTTCTCCATAGTGAATGATATAGCGGCGGAGATCAATGTCGAGAGGGTAAAGTAGACCCTCCCACTCAGTCTCGCCACTGAGAAGCCTCCACCTTCTTGCTATGGCATCCATGATCACCTTCTTCTTGCCTCACCAGCTTGAAAGGATTGGTATTATTGATTAACCAAAACGTGAAAGGATTGATGTTCTTGCTTGACCAACTTGAAGGGATTGATACTCTTGGTGCATGCTTCTCTCATGACTCATGCACCAACCAATTAACACACGTTTCGTTTTGCTTGCTTATTTATTTTCTTTCCCAATTCTCTCTGTCATTTTTTCAACAATCCAGAAAACCAAAAACCAAAAATTCTTCTCAGAAAAATAAAGCCAAAAATGTTAGCTTGGTTTTGATAAGAACCGAAATAAACCAAAGTTTACTAGTGTGCTCAAGCGCTAATTAATATAATCACTAATCTGGAATTGCTCCATAATAAGATCCATAATCTGAACCGTTCATGATTCATTATCATCGTAAGTGTTCTCATTGTCTTCTTGAAAATTATGTGTTCGTCTATCTATTCAAATTTAGATGATTTTTGGCATAATAATACATGAACGAGGACCTAGAGGTTGAACGGTTCAGATAATGGGTTCACATTGTATAGTGCGCTCAAACGAGTGATCAACAACATAGTAATTTACAAATTGGTTAGCACTTGGGCATAGAAATGTAAGACATCGTCAAGGATCCACGACATTAACAAGGTGACAAACTTCCACTACAATTTCTTTGGATATAAATAGCATCTATGAACAGCGTATTAAGTACAATTTGTATTAAATACAGGATCAAAATATACCGAATGTACGTTTTTGAATGATAGTTCGGATACAATACTCGTACATTTTCAACGATACAGGCAGCAGACAAATCTCTAGCATCATCATTATGCCAGAAACTATCGCCAGAGACATGTTTTGTGATACATTCAGAATCATTAGACTCTTAAGTACAAACACAGACACAAGAAAACCCAAATTCAATGAGAGGAAGAAATTAATGTTCCCTTGCTAACCTCACGGGTTTTTCCTTCAGGAAAGCTACATCACCTGTTGGTGTAGTCAGCAGATGATGATTTGGCCCCTCTTCACTTCCTTCTGTTCCAGATGATGCGATGGATTCTGATCCGTCATCATCATCATCCTCACCTGTATTGACAAAATAAAAACGGTTCAAAAAAATCTTGTAAGAGACACACATGTTAATAATTGATGGCAGCCTGCATGGCAGGATCCAGAAAACATCAGCTTAACCAACTAGAGTTCCCAACTTTCCATGACCAGATCAATATCCCAACCAAATGCAATTAAGCCAGGAGGTTGATTCCATCAGAGTGTTTGATGATTCTACCTCTTCCTTCAAATGAACTCGCTACAGATTTGCTAAGATTTAGTAGCAGCTTATCCAGGAAAGGTAAACGGAACATAGATTGTGCGATGAAATTCTACAGCGTTATTGATATTCTCTTTGATTAACATGCACCAGAACTCCAGGTTGTGTGCTTTGCTTCATTTGTTAATCCAGCATCTCCACAACCTCGTGCACAATGTGATCATTTTTTTTTATTTTTAAAGGAAACAAATTTTATTGCAATAGAAAATAAAATACAGAGATGGCCAAGTGCCACACAGAAACAGAAAACAAAGAAACAGTAACTAGACTGAACAAAACCCTAAGCTACTGCACAGTGTGATAATGCTCAAATAAAAATGAAAAACAGTTGCTCAAAGAAATGATGGGTGGTTTGAAACCACTTGGCTTGTATTTTAATTATAGGTTCTAGAGAAATGTGCAAATTTATTGGTTTTATTTGTTGTTTTCGGGCATTAATTTTAGACTCAAGCGTCATTCAACCAACCTTGGGCAAACAATACACAGACTCAAGCAATCAAACATACCTAACACGTTTAGTCAATTTCAACCATGCATAATCTCATTTGTTCAGCCTTGGTTGGCTGAATGAGGTTCAGACACATAATTAAAAAACTTCTACAGGTATCTAACTTTTTTCACAGCTTCATGTTTTCATCGCCTCACTTATTATCATGTGCATAAGAATCGCTCAAGTAGAATCGCCCAACTCTCTTTATTGTTGGTATATATCGCAAACATTTTTAAATAATATTGATAACAGATTGAAGAACCAACGATGGTGTGCTTATAGTTGAGTGCCCCACTATAGTTCAACGTTTCCTATTTTCACTCTCACCTACTACTTTCAACCAGCCCGCTCTCCCATGCATTCCAACCCTCTCTTCTAACCCCCACTCATTGCACACACATGATATCTGCATGGGCCTTCTGTAGTACTATGAAGAAAAGGATCTGCTTCAGTTCAATTTTCCTTCCTTATTTTATATTTCTGCAATGATATAGATAGACATGGCATATAAGTTTCCCATGCAAAGACATGACCATGTTCATACCATAATTTTTTTCCGTTCTCTTAGACAGCTGATGCAAGCATAATACGCTTAGGCTTAAGTCAGAAAAATATGCAAAATTGTGATTCAAACATCTTTAGAAAAATGACTGTCAACCGGGAACATACCAGAATATGCAGGATGGTCAGGAAGATGTCTCACTGCTGCAATTTGAATGCTTTCTGGCAGAAGACAGTTACAGAAAGAACCTGAAACTTGAGAAAAACCTCTACTTAGATAAATGAAAAGATCATTGAATCATCAACAAAGTAAAGTTTTAGACCTCTATAAAACCCATTTCCGATAATGATGTTGATCTGCCTATTCAAAGGAATCTATGGGCATCAAAGCAAAGTTAATAAATAGTATCCAACCCTAACAAGGATATGTCATTCATTTATAAGGTCTAGAAGCACCCCCATGAAGTTCAAGATAGCTTGCTCTTGTGAATACTTAAGTAGAGTATCTTTACTCTCACCTACTTTGGCCAGCCGATTTACCCATCCTGGTATAGGCTTTCCAGTTAGCCGCATGCAGACCTCATCAGTAAAATGGTTGCAATTCTTGGCAATTAAATGATAAGTATCACCATGATACTTTCCAGAAAGGTGCTCCATAAATGACCGCAATTCTGCGCGAGACATATCAGTGCTGCCCAACAGGACTGACCTTCTGAAGATGAAGCCAGGACAACTTCTTGGTTCCACCTCAAAAACCCCACTGCTAGGATACTCATGGGCTCCAAATCCGTACTCCAAGCCATGAACTGGGTATAAAAATAGTTAGAACTTTGTCAGGCATTTCATCTATAATTTAATATGAAGACTTCCAAGGAGATTCCGTCCAACTACTCAAGTATAAAATATAGAAAAACCAAAGGAAAAACAAACAAAAATAATGTGTAATGTGTTGCAAAGAAAGAACTAAGAAACTGAATGTATTTCATTACCAGTGAATAGAGGTGTTTATATAGAATTCCAAAACACAAATTCAGCAATACAGATCAGCCTAATGATTAGGAATTGAGCCAATCGATGAACAGTTAAAGTAATCAAGGAAGTCAAATCTTCAATCCGAATCAATTTGAGGGTGTAAACTAGCCTATACTCCAGTATAAAGGATTCTATAAACTCAATGACTTAATGTAATTCTCCAATATTTTTATTGCAGGTTTTTCATGTTCAGGTATTCCATGGTTCATTAAGCATTATACCATTAATTCAACATATAATTCTCTCTAGTTACAATTACCCTTTATATAAGTTGATCCTTCACTCATGTTGTAAGTTTTGTATGATATATTTCCAGAAAACCCTGCATATATTTTGATGCTTCTATTCCAAGACCGCAATTGTAGACCTTAACTCTACTACAGATCTTGTAGAACTTACAATTATCTCTATCCATTATCTTACTCTCTTACACAGAGTCTTAAAACTATTTAATCATTTAATATAATAATCATAATAAATAAAAGGTTTCTAACTGTTAAAGTTCTGTACAAAAGTGCAATATTATTTTCTCATTTGGCACTTAAGATCTTCAAAAAGAAAAACGATTAAATTTATAAACTTCCTCTGTTATGTAAATATCAAATTTTGTTTTTAAGAAAGTACCGTTAACACTCCAAAATACTAATCCTTACCTATATTTGGATCTCTTTATGCATGGAACTGCATTTTTCATATGATAAGAAAATAGTTTTCGTACATCAAGACACACATAGCTGCTTAGATTTCATCATAGGATTATTTGAAATCTGCTGTAGGGAAATTCTCCGAAACAATAATTGTTTACATCTTGTCAATGATCAAAATAATGAGCAAGATTTCAGACATTGTGCATATGCAATCTCTTGTAGTTACCATTTCAGTCACTCTATTCTCTTACAAACATTAGCATAGCTTGTCAATAAACTATAAGCATATCACAGTTTGCAGAGCAAATCTAACAACAACCACAACAATGTCCACCATACTCCTATTTCCACATAACTATCCATCCATACGAACAAAATACACCATGACATTTCTAAAAATTCAAAATTTATAGCAATAAACCCAAAATTGTTCACAATTAAACAGAAATAACACCTAAATTGAAAATGAAAATTCACAAATTCAAATTTCAATTACTAAGAGAGCTGAAAAGCCACGAAAGTCGCATACCTTCGATGCCGGAGTGGAAGATCCCAAATCCAAACCAGTAAAGGTAGTTATTTACAGGCGTGAGATCGTAGACATTGAGGTACAAAAGGGCGCGATTTTTTTTCCGATCAGTCTTCTCCTTCTCTGCGCTCGAGGTCGAGGTTGAGGTCGGGCTTGAGCTCAAAGGAAACAACCGCATTGTATTGAGTCGCTAACCCTAATTTCCTCAATTGCGTTCTGAAATAATCACAAGCTGATCATCGTGTTCGCCAATCAGAAGGAACCTCAGGGAAGTGAATATAGTAGATGTTTTCTAACCTCGAGTTGTGTGTTTGGTTGCCGAGAAAATTTTAGGAAAATGGGGAAAGTTTTAATGTAAATTTTGGAGTTTTAGGATTTAATTATGTTTTACGATTATTGGAAGCTTTTTTTGTTCGTTGAATTTCGAAAGTGTGCGAATCATCTTAGGGGACGACGATTAAGTTATTAATGCAGTTCGCTCCAAACAAGTGAAGGTTAGGACAATGCCCTTTGTTTTTTCGTAAATGACGAACTTGCCCTATGGCAATGACTTTCTTTTGGGTACATATAAAGTCTTAAATATCAATAGTTTCGGAAATATCAGTGGTTCAAAAACACGGAAATATCGATGGAAATATCGGGAAAATATCAATATTGATAAAAATTAGATAAAAAACATGGAAATTGTAATAAATATATGGAAATTTTTAATGAAACTTTAGAAGAAGTTTATTTAGTCAATCATCTATTATTTTGACACAAAATTGGAAGGAAATGCATTGCATAATGGGTTTGAGTGATTTAAGTTGATTATATTGCAAGTTGACAAATTCTGTGACTTAGAAAATCTTGAGTAATTAATGAACGAGAATTAAACACACCCTAGTAATTTATTTATCATTTTTTAGTACAATATTTTACATTTTATAAATTACATGATAAGATACATGAGTAACCTTATTTTACATTATTCACTGGACATGGTGCACATTCTTATATTTATTATTTATCAAAAATTGAAAAATAATTAAAGATGTAAACCAACTTAATTTGTCATGAAAAATTAGGCACGTTACCATGCTTAAAAAATAATAGTGAAGATTGAAAATTAACTAAGAACATAAATAAATTTATCCAAGGAAGAATTAAATAGGAAATAAAGAAAATGATTATAGAGATTTAAGTAATCAAGCAACAATTTATTTCACCTTATTCGCTGGACATGGTACACGTTCTTATATTTATTATTTATCAAAAATTGAAAAATAATTAAAGATGTAAACCAACTTGATTTTTCATGAAAATTAGGCACTTTACCATGCTTAAAAAATAATAGTGAGTATTGAAAATTAATTGAGAACATAAATAAATTTATCCAAGAAAGAATTAAATAGTAAATACAGAAAATGATTATAGAGATTTAAGTAATTAAGCAACAATTTGAAGGGGAATTTAGTAATGTAAGTACTTATAATGAATAATAAAATAATCAATAACATTAAATGGATTAAATAGAAAAGAAATAAATTATATTAAATAATTAAGTAACTGATCAACAATATAAAACAATAAGTAATTATGTTAATTTCTATTTTGAGAAACAGCTC